GTCAGAAACCTGGCCCCCTTGCACCCTAAAGAAAATGGGCTACAAATCCACCCACCTTTTTGACAATTTTGGGCCTTAGAGAAACTGAGTGGCACATAAGTGTCACAGAGTGAGACTTCTGGATTTCAGCATCCCGTGCATAGGCATGTGCAGAAGCAATTAGGTGTGACGAAAATAGAGATGAACCTCTTATACAAAAGTTTGCACAGTAACTGAAATTTCATACCTCTCTTTGTTGGAGCAGAGATGGATCTTGTTAAAGCCTCTTATGTAACACCTGTTTCACTTGAGCATCTTTAAAAGACTGTTGAAATGACAGCTATCCAAATCTGTGATCCAGTCAGCACTGACTGTCTGTTGATTCTGCCACTTCTGAGAGACGTTTAGCTACAATGTATTGAATATGGAACTGGCTGCGTTGACCGATGGTAGAAGCGTCCCATCACTTGGGGTTCTACACATTGAGGTTGACATAGCAGCAAAGCTATCACCTGAGATGATAGTTCAATTCAATTCATTTCAATTTCATTTGTATAGCTCCAAATCTTGTTTACTTCTACACTAGGTAGGACAATGTCTATTTATTGTACATATTTTACAAGCCTATTGTATCAGGCAACACTATTGCCATTATAATATGAGTGATTGATATCTCACTTTTAAAAGACTGTGGTTCAGTTGTGTGACCTCGTACAGTTCAAAGTTGTCAGAGCCCCCCCTGTGCTAATGTTAAACTCTGCCTCTGACTGTTTGTAATTATTGTTTTTACTTGGTATGTCTACACATTTACCTTCTGTATGCAAAAAGACTGTCTGATGTTCAGCTTCCTCTTCCTCTGGAAGGTGTCCAGGTCCCAGAGCTGTGCCGTGTCTGAGGATGTGGTGATGGCATATCTGCCTGAGCTGTGGACAGAGATGGATGAAACTGCTCCCTCGTGACCTCGCATCCAACTGACCAGCTGCTTCGTGTCTGTGCAAACAAACAGAGGGAAAACTGTATTGAACAAGTTTATTTTCAGTTAATTGTGGTGGTGAGGGATGGATAAAGTGAATGCATCATGAATACAATAAAAGTAAAAAACTAAATGTTGAATCTTGAAAACCTAAAAGCAGAAAATATCCCTTATATCAAAATAACAAAACAATGTGTTATATGTACGTGTCCATCCTACCTTTGTCAAAGCACTTGATAGTGTAGTCAGCCAGTGCCACAATGAGCTCTGTGGTCCTGCGGAGGCTGAAAGCAAGAGCAGTGCAGGCCTGTCCTGTCTTCTGCACCAGACGAAATCTACCCAAAGAAAGAAAAAAAAAAAAAAAAGGAGTGGATAAATGTGAAAGCATGCTGGGTTTTAGGGTAATGGCTGACCACTTATTTTGTCCTCCAAATTGAAAGGAAAAACATTTACTGACATGTACTCATTTGGCTGACCCTTGTAGCCACAGTTACTTACTACTGATGGACACTAAAACACAGTAAGTGCTAGTTTAGGATGTCAGAGGTATGAGAAGAGGAGGTGCTGTCAGAGGAGATGAGTCCTTAAGGAGTTCTTGACGATAAACAAAAATGTCCCTGTTCTGATTGCAATAGGTACAGCAGATGGTTTCCACTATTGGGGAACCACCAACAAGAACAGTCTGGACTGTGATTGACTTGTGTGCAAGGATGGCAACAGCAAACAACGTTCTATGAAGAAAGGCAGTAACTTTACTTTGGGTAGCCAGCGGAGGTCAATGAGGAGCTTAGTGACATACTCTAAGGCTGATTGAAGACCAGACGCTCCACTGCATTCTGGACCATGAGGGTGCATACTGAGTTGGGTAAGGCTAGGTTTTTCTTATGTTGTATAGTGCAAAGTTGCATGACTGGGGTAAAAATACAAAATGGTAAGAAAAGGAAAGCTGGTCAAATATGGCATCCAGCTTTCTCACAAATTTAGTGAGGGTAAGAGATGAATAGGCAATTTAAATGTTGAAAGGGTCTTGGAGAGAGCAAGTAGATTAATTCAACTAAAGACATTTTATACATTGCAAAGAAAAGGGGCATCAGCACTGAGCCTTGGGGGATCCCTGTGGAATTGACACATTAAGGGAATGTCTGGTGATTTGAATCATTTTCATGTCCATATAGATGGAAAGAAAGGGTGTCATTGCATCATTAGCATGATTGTCAATCACCTGTTTCTACTAATGTCAAAGACATAGATGTTTCCGTGGTGATCTCCAGCCAGAAAGGAATCTCCTGTGGTGTCAAAGGTCACATGGAGGAAACGCACAGTCTTGCCCCGCTGAGTCGTGCGGGCAACTGTCACTAACACACTGAGGAACACAAACAGCACATGTTAATAAGAGAAGAGCACACTCAGACATCACTGAGATTAAACTCAAAGCCTTTCAGTTAACTGTGATTGCTCTCTGTGATTATAATTCACCCTGAAAAAAGCTTGTCACAAGCACCCAGCTTGTCTCATGATCAAACTTACTTTGAGTGCAACTCATCAGCATTTGTTAGTTAAATATGGCCAAGCCAATTATCAAAAATTGTTACAATTTAATTTTCTTTTGAGGTTGACTAGTTAATAGCTGCACAACTGGACAGGTACAGAACTGTTACAGCACAACAATAAATATCTGATTACTTACCCATCCAATTGTGAGACACAGCAAATGGTAATCTGATATCAGACCATATAACAGATGATATCTGATTTAATTAGGATTCTATCTAAACTCATAATTTAGATTGGACTGAGTGGCTGAAGTCCTTTTGTTTTTAATGTGCTGTGTAAATAAATCGGACTTGACTAAATGACATCTAAGCGTCTTTCTGTACTGAGTTTTAGCTTTGTATATCTGTATTTTAATTGTCACCATGAATGCACAGGCATGATGACTGAACGAACTCCCCACACAGAGACCACACTGATCACCCCCCCAGCATCAGATACTACAACAGACTCGTCCTGTGTCGTTCAGACGTTTCAAACCTGCCTCTTTCCTGCTCTTGGTTTCCGATGCCACACGTTCCCCTCTTCTTTGTTCCCTATGTCCGTCACCTCCATTTTACAACGCTTTTACAAACCCAGGGCAAACATTTGGAGAGCAGAATAATTTGGACTGAACTTTGTTTCTCCGCGGCAGCTAACAGAAACACGGTGCGCTAACAGGCTAACCGGCGAATCGCTCAGGCGAAGTAAACGGCGCAAAATTCGAAAATTCACAGTGTTTAGCGATAAAGTAGAGAAGCCGCAGAGGTTATCGATAAAAGCTCGGTTACGTCACATCATATTATTCAGAGTTCTACAGTAACCCACAACTTTGAGAGATAGTGTGTGCACAATTCTCTTCAAACTGCAGTTTCGGGAGTTTTTTTTGTGTTGATGACGGTTATTGTGTCGCCAAAAGTTGACGTAAGAGGTAAACAGAGTTGGGGATTGTGGGAAACGTAGTTCAAAAAGCTCACGGAGTCTTTTGTTGTAAATAGAATTCTTAGCGTAGCCAGAAGTTCCACTTCAATGTTTTGGTTTTAGTATAACATTATTCTTATGATTTTATCATTACATCTAATTACATAATAATTACATAACATTGTTGATGGCTATGATTTCAGGATCAGAATCAGGAGTACTTTATTAATCCCCGTAGGGAAATTCAAATGGTACAGAGCCCCTGAGAAAGAGGTGAAGCAGCAAAAGCAGGTATAAACAGCAATATAAAATATAAAAATCAAGTAAGGCTAAAGAAATAAAGATATACATATGTAGAAGTAAAGACCGGGTATTTGTATTTATAGATTTACATTTGTGCATGAGTAAAGTAAGTTAAAGTTAAAGTATAAGTTAAAGTTAAAGTATACACAGTATACATTATTAATCTTTATACTTTACAGGTTGTCATTGTACAATTTGACAGTCACGGGCAGGAATGATTTCCTGTGGCATTCTGTCAAGCAGTGTGTGTGGATGAGTCTGTCACTGAACGAGCTGCAGAGGCTAATCAAGATATTATGGAGAGGGTGTGGCGGAAAGTCCAATATTGTCCTTACTTTAGACAAAGTTCTCCAACAAGAAAACAGCAAACATGATGGCACTTGACACAACAGACTCATAGAACATCCGCAGCATCGTCCTGTCTATGTTGAAGGACCTGAGCCGTCTCAGAAAACAGAGACGGCTCTGGCCTCTTTTGTAAATCTAGTCCACATTTAATAGAACAATGGCAGCTGTCCCCCAAATATACGAGTTGGTCAGTCAGATCAGATTTTTAAAATCATAATTGCCATTAAGAATCTTTCAGAAGCTTAATCAAGTAAAAGTTGTGTGAGTTCATGTGATCTGCAGCAGCACACAACACATTCTATCATTTGATGTTAAAAAGATGTGCTGTGTATTCTTTGCTGCTCATGGAACTCCAGCAGAGTGGTGACTCCTCTTCACATGAACATTGTAGATGTTGTAATGTGCAGAGCACGTAATTTTTTTATACGTTTTTCATTTTTAAAAAATCAAATCGTTCATCCCTAGCTGTTTTCTTTCAAAGTACAAACAATACTAGCAATCAAACTTTGATTTAATTTGGAATGACTCCAAAACAAAAAATGAGGCCCTCTTCCATCCTTTTTGCAAAGGACAAGCCTTGAGGCCATTTACCAAACAAACCTCAGAAAAAAGAATTCACCATAACACAAAGCAGTCACAGTCATGTCCTTTACCTATGTGTGGAGTCCATATACAGCATTAAAGTATTGAGCTTATATGTCTCTGCCTGCATCGTGCAAAATTAAATGAAATGTTCACCACAAGGTGTCAGGGTGCAGACAACAATAAAGAAACACAGAACAGTTATTTTTGACCTACTGTATATTAACACACATGATGATTTAGGCTGTGTTATAAAAATGTATATAGATGTATATTGTCATTTCAAAATTCCCCTCATTTTATCTGTTCAAGTGGATAAAAACAGAAAAGCAGGTCCCGCCTCTTCCTGTCTGCGCCACCTGTGTGAAGCTTTAAACCAATGAGCTCGGACACGTTGTTTCTGCTTCGACCTGTGCGGTTTCTGCTCAGTGATGCGCTCAGAACGAACCAGCATCCGTGTGACTCGACTATAGTTTGTTGCGTAAGGACACGAATGATTTGATTCGCTGTTTGAATTGAGACGTTAAATATGACCCGCCTCTTGTGGGCCCTGGTCCCAGGCGAACTCACCTGCTCCAACTAGAAAGTCCAGTTTCTCCAGCGAGTCTCAGAGAACAGCAGCGAGTGGTGGAGGCAGCATGGACAGGTAAGACACAAACACTCATTTAACAGTTGCTCTGTGAGAGATGAAATGCCCTAAAATGCATTACACAAACAAAGTTTACTGGATTAATATAATGGTGTTGCTACAGGTAGTAAATATTTCACTCTGAATATTAAAAACTGTGCCTTTCTGGGACTGAGCTCTGGTGTCTTTACTGCCAACTAATATCTTTTTAATCACTCATTTACTTATTGATCTTTTTATTTTGATCATGAAACAGTAGTTTGTCACTTTCAGCACAGACTCAGCACACGGTTCTGTTATTTAGATGTGGTAAATACAAGCAGTTGAAATAAACACACTTCACACGCAGCGGACGATTAGATGGAGGTTTGGTGAGAAACAGCCTGGGGCAGACTTGGTGGCTTGGCAGATGAGGCCTGGGTTAATGACAGGCTGTCTTTGTAGTGACAACATGTCTTATTGTCTCTTCCCATTGTTTTGCTGTATTCTCAGTAAACGGCTGGTGGTGGTACCAAACGAAGCGGCGACCCCCTCGGGCAGGGTGTTTAGCAGTGATGATGAGGTGTGGAGGGGCTACCTGGAGAACCCTCTGACTGCCGCCACTAAGGCCATGATGAGCATCAATGGGGACGAGGACAGCGCAGCAGCTCTGGGACTGCTCTATGACTACTACAAGGTGAGAAAAGTGTTAGATTACATACAATAAATCCAACACAGTGCATACTGATTTGTTACTGATTTTATTTTTTGTATCTGCTATAACCTTGTCAGGTTCCTAGAGAAAGGAAACTCGCAGCCAGTTGTGTAAAACCCACAGACCCCTCTGCTCTTGGGCCCAATAGCTGTGGTAACTTGGAAATACTAGATCAGCATCTTCAGGCTCTTAGATGCATGCCTGTCAACCTCTCTCTAAACAACAGCACCACCATACAACACCAGGGCTCCAAGTACGGAGCTACTGGCCTTACAGGAGGCACCAGAGGAGGAGATGGTAAAAGTGAAGGTGGGGTATCTTTTGCTCTGGTCAAGACAGAGGGACAGAAGCCCATGAGAGTGTCCTCCTATCCAGCAGAAACTGAAGAGCATAGAGAGATGGTTTACAAACAGAGCTGCTATGATTTGTCCTTGTCTGGATACTTGAAAGATGAAAGGAGAAGCACGCCAGACAGCACATATGAGGAAGCTGTGGAAGGAGAGGTGAGTGGAGGTGGAGTATGTCTTGCCTTACATTAATTGTTCTTTTAGCTTGATGTCAATCAATCAATCAATCAATGAAATGTATTTATATAGCAGGGTATCACAACAAACAGTTGTCTCAGGTTACTTCACAAAAGTCTGAGATCTTAAAGACAAAATCCAACTTGTTCCACACCAAGCAAGCATGAGTGATGTGTCATCGTTTCCATTGTATATCGTCTTCTTTCACAGATGTACCAGAAAAATCCCTCGTCAGGACCTGATGAATCCCACTGGATTCAACCTGGGTGAGTTATAATTCCAATACAAACAAAATCTTAAAACATGTAGAAACTGGAAGTCAAAAATATTAGCACTTTGTATGACAGTATAGAGAATACTCTGATACAGACGTATTGAAAGATAAGAAAGAAAGGTAATGCTCTCTAATCACTGTTTTTGTCAAGTGCCATGAAAAGACAAAAACTAACAATGCATTAAATACACCTTCCGCTGCCTTCCTCTATGCCTTACACTGGAGCTCTAGGTAGAGCGCTGAGTATTTTGCACACTCATGCATAGACCCCTGTGAGACTTGGTGTTAATAATCTTACCTGAGTGATCCGATGGTCAGTTCAGGTCTCAAAGCACCCAAATGAGATCCGATCACTCTGATGCCATTCAAACGTGGTCTAGGACACATATGTCCACTTTCTTTTCTGTGTGAACACAAATTGCCTCTTGGGCCACATATGGACAGTCCAGTCAGCTGGTGTCCTCTGACCCACTACAGGTTCATCTGCTGGTTGTCGCAAACATCTGCTGGTGGTTGGCAACTTATCGTCACACTAGTGTGGAAGACCTTTAAATGTCAAAGGGATATTCACCATCTTGTCCTATGCTATAAAACAATGAATCCAACATATTTTACTTTTCTCAGTGCCCATACATTATCAGTATCTACACTGACTGCCACATGATGATTTCTATTTTTCTTGCGCTGACTTGCACTGGTCTTTGTGAACACAAATGACATATCTGACATAACCTCCTCCTGTTCCACACAGACATCATGAAAGCATTTTCACGTCATCCATAATAGTTTGGAACGACAGCCTCAACAGCCAATCATGGAGAAAACCACAACACATAGTCAACAAATATCACTCGCACCCCCCCTCCCATCAGTAGGATCACTATACAACAAAATGCACATTTACAAGGGCACCATAAATAATCTATGACGCCTCTCATTGTACTCACCACCTGTTCCAACTGTTGCCCTCTAAGAGGTGATACAGATCTTTGTTTACCAAATCATCCTGCTTTAAAAACAGTTATTCCCTGAAAGCCGCAAGGACCCTGAATTCCCTGCAACAATCATGAACATGCACTGTCACCTCTGTCCATGTAGATTTCTAGTTATTTTTTCAGGCCTCCAAGCCGGCTACAGCCGCTGGCCAGATGCATTATATTTTGGGATTGCCCATCCGTACGTACGTCTGCACAGCTCTTGAGAGAATCAAAGGTCAAGGTTACGGCAGCGTCACGTCCCTTTCATTTTATTTTCATCTGGCACAAAAAAAGGCTCCATTGAGGAAACACGTGTCAATCGGACTCAAACATTAACTGATTCGATTTTAGCGGTCAAAAGTAAAGGTCACAGTGACCTTATTTTATCTGTGGAGATGTTCCAGATGTGCATCTTAATGATGGCTTGTCAGATGGTTCCACGTTTGTGTTCTTACAGTGACAGTTTCCAGTACAATCTGGAGGCCAACATGTCGCTGCGACAGGGAGAGGGACCCATGGCTTACCTCAACCGGGGCCAGTTCTATGCTCTGACCCTGTCTGAGGCCACCTTCAGTTCAACCCAACGTCAGCACAGAGGCAAAGTGCGGGTGAGTCGACCGTCACCTTCACAGGGGCCTGCTGGGAGCCTACGCAGTAGTGAGCAATGCACCATGGGAGGCTCTGAGCTGCAGTGGGACAGTACTGTACAGGTGAGGGGGGGATACAGTGTAGAGGTATATTACTGTTAGCTTTGTGTTGGTTAGCATGAAACCATGTCATGCTTAGAAATGTCATATAGAAATGTAATATGTAATATGGTCTTTGGCCTGATGATCCTGTGTCCTGCACCGCAGAGTGTCGTCATGGTTGTCTTTGGGGAAGACAAGTGCAGAGACGAGCAGCTGAAGAATTGGAAATACTGGCACTCCCGTCAGCACACTGCCAAACAGAGGGTCCTGGACATTGGTAAGATGATGCTGTTATACTTATCATTGACTCACAGCTCAGTGAAGAGGGATTCAGTAGGTCTGCATTTGCATAGATATTAACTGGAGAAATAGGCTGGGGCCTGGAGGAAGGCCATGTCCTCTCAGCAAGAGACAGGCCTCAACCTGTGGTTTCAAACTCTAAGGAATGAACCACAGACTTCACATTGGTGACTTTGTCTGTGGCAAATTCATGCCAACATGAGCAGAGGTTGAGAGGAAATGGCAAGGGCATTATGGGAATCTATATCTAGCGTTAGATTTATTATTTTATTATTTTCCGTGAGAAGATGCCAGATTGTTATCTGTTTTTATAGATGAGTTGTTTTGGGTTTTAAGCAATTTGGACTACACTAGCCAACTGTATCCAAAGTAGCCTGTATAAATATATATAGAAAAATGCATATGTGTGTGCTACTATAGTTGTATTTAGTACTGTATAATGGAAAAACTTTCACCGTCAGTAAAATGTAAAAATCGATAAAACAGTATTACAATCATATTTATTCCCAGCAGAATCAAAATGATTATTTTTGATAAGTGAAGTACATTTAATTCAATATTTGTATACTTTTAGTTAGGTGTGATTTTGAATTCAGTATTTTTACATTGTTTTTATCATTGCTTGTGTCCTGACATGTCATAATAAGGGTCGACACCAAACTTCCCTGAACCCAAAAGTGTGTCCTCTGATCTTTACTTCTCGTGCAGCCGACTACAAGGAGAGTTTCAGTACAATTGGGAATGTGGAGGAAATTGCCTACAATGCTGTCTCTTTCACATGGGACGTCAGTGAAGAAGCCAAGGTAAATAAAAAGCAAAAGAAGAATGGTGAGATTGTACTGGGATTAAAAAGCAATTTTTCAATCTTCACTGGATAACCCACAAAGATTTTTAACTTTTTAAAATGTATAAAACAAAAACCAAAATATATTATTTATTTAACTCTTGCATTTGTTTTGGTGCTCCAAATTATGGTCAGGTGCATCCTAATCTATGAAGTCCAAGGATCTGTCTGTAGAAATCTGCAATAGAATAGTGGCAAGTTATTGGGTATAAAATAATTATTTCTAAGGAAGTTATAGGTCTTTGTAACAACTGTACAACTGATGGTCATGATGATACATCTGTTATTGTCAGTAGGTATGCAGGCTCACGTGTCTCTACTATCACTTCCCTCCTCTCTCTGTGCCACCAAGACAATTCGGTTTCCATTATTATTAAATCAGACTCCAATTAGTTGACGTAATCATTTTTTTTTTTTCAATCATTTGTTGTGGCATGGCTTTGCTGTCGCCAGGCAACAATAATCACCCTCGTTTTAATTTAGTGTGAGATGTATTGTTAGTGGAGATGAGCCGCTTCCTCTCTGTTTTGTGTTTGTTTGTGCCTGGTTAAGCGGACAGCATAAAACAGCCTATTTACTATGCCCTCATGAACCTGTAAACACACACACATACACGCACACACACAAACATTTGCAGCAATGCTTTTACTACTTTTACCAGATTTCGAAATGGCTTGGGTCTGTGGAGGTGTGGATTTGTGGAGGTGTGTAGGAGGCTTGTTTGTGCTCCAGGCCTTCCCAGCGATCAGCCCTCTCCTCTGCAGGTTCAAACACGATGCTGTTAATGCTTGCGTAGTGGGAAAATCACTGTTGATCTACGGCTTCTCTACCGTTATCTGTCTTCACCGACCTGTTGCTCAGGCTGTTGATCCTGTTTAACTGGAAAATGAATGTTGGTTTACATGATCA